AATTTATAAAAACAGGTTTTTGTTATAAATAGTTTTATAAATAGAGAACAGGAGCAGTTTTAAACTCAGCTCCTGTTTGACACATTAAAGGAATATTTTGGTGGAAAAGTTAAACATTTCATATCTTTCCTGCTATAAATTAAAGTAGAATAGTGCAGCCATCAGTCCCGTCAGAATAAACGATTCCTTCAAACTGAGGTTGTTCACAGAGCTATCTACAGCAGGTAAGATATTATTTATAACTGTTGCACAGTCAAACACTTTAAAATGGGTGAAATATCCCTTTAATGTGGAGCGCAGCAGTCAGAGGAGGTGAGTCGTTTCTTCTGCTCGTCCAGGTTTTTCCTGAATATTTAACATAAAATGTGTTTATTTTGGATGTAATAATTTAAATTGGGGAATAATAAAGTCTCATTCTGTTGACTTTAAAGAAATAAAAACACAAAGATCTTAGAGAATCCTGGTTCCTGTCTGWCCCTTCATTCTTCTGAGCTGTTTGACGCGAGTTAAACTCCCATCGTTTAGCTGCCTGACGACAAACAGTGGCTGTAAATAAATAAAATAAACTCAAACTGAGCAGGTGACTGACTCTGTGCTGCGTCCTCTCCCCTCACGCTTCAGTCTGCTGGTGCCAAATGTCCTACTGCTCCTCGGAGACCTCCAGTCCAACAGACCGGTCCGGTCCGGCTTCCTGCTCCGGTTAAAACGGGAGCTTCTTCAGCTGCTCGAACGTGATGAAAAACTGGAAGCAGGAGGTTAAGAACCAACTTTCTGACACTGAATGAAGCTGAAGTTTTCACACAACGACTGGTTTGTTTGTAAATCAACCCACAGAGCTGATCTGGACCAGAACTCATTCAAACTTTAAAGTAGAGGAACTATTTGAGCTGAGCTGACAGGTGGAAGGATACGATGATGTTCCACGGTCCCAGTCGCAGCCAGTTGGGCCAGAATCCCTTATAGAGCGCGAAGAAGCCCTCGTTCTTCCACGTCTTCATCACTCCGTCCAGCGTCCCTTTGTAGACGGGGCTCCCGGACAGAACCCGCTGGTTCATCATCCGTGTCCGGACCACGTCGACGGGGTTGGAGGCCAGCGCCCCCGCCAGGCCGCAGGTGAAGCTGGAGCTGTGGGAGGAACAGGGTGAGTGACAGGAGAACTGAGAAGCTGAAAGGAGTGAAGACACAGAGACTGACATGAAGTGTGTCAGGATGGTGTCCCCCATCAGGCCGGAGCGGAGGAGGTGCTTCTTTGTGATGTCATAGACAGGAAGCTCCACCCCCACCACGATGGCTGCTCGCTGCGCGGTGGGGATGACGCCCTGAAGAAGAAGAGAAGAAGTCAGACTCGGGGGTTAGGGTACGAGCCTGGACCTGGTCTGGTTCTGAGCGGAGCCTCACTCTCCACAGCCCCCGGGTGCCCTCGGTCTGGTAGATGTTGATGAAGTTGGCCATCATGCTGCCCTGCAGGAGGCTGCCCTGAGCCTGCATCCTGATCTGAAACAAACAATCACTTGTTTAYAACTCTTCCCTCTGCCAGGAACACAGAGACACTCAGCCTGTGGYTAACTCAGTGCATTGTCCCGTCTAAATAAATAAATTCAAACGATAACTAACTCCTAACATTCATCCTTATTAGGGATCCAATTAATACACTTAGGGTTAATTGTCCAATAAAGGTTTATTAGATTAAAATTTCTCCATTCGATTCATTAAAACATGTTTGACTTCATCCAGTAGAGGGCGCCGCTGCTCTCAGCCTGGCCGACTCTACGAGCCGGCATCATAAATAAACACGCAAATCTTGTTTAGTTTTATTTGAGACAACAATAATAATGAACTAAACCAAACTGGAAGGAAAAGAAGCGAAGGATACTTATCGATCAACTAACGATCGATCGACTACCGTTCTGGAGCAGGACAACAGAACAGTAAGCTAACTGTAGCTAGCGTTAGCTTCTTCTTTAGCTCCGTGTGAAAGAATAAAACAACACAGAACAGAACAGAACAGAACACAAAACACAAACAAAAAACAGAAAAGAACAAAACAAAACAAAATAAAAACATAACAAAACAAAACAAAAAACAGAAGAAAAGAACAAAACAACAGAACACAGAACAGAACAGAACACAAAACAAAAACAAAAAACAGAAAAGAACAAAACAAAACAAAATAAAAACATAACAAAACAAAACAAAAAACAGAAGAAAAGAACAAAACAACAGAACACAAAACAAAACCAATACAGAAAAGAACAAAACACAAAATAAAAACAAAACAAAACACAACACAACACAGAACA